AGGAGGGAGGGGGGAGGGGGGAGGGGGGAGGGGAGAGGAGGGAGGGGGGAGGGGGGAGGGGGGATGAGAGAGGAGGGAGGAGGAAGACTCGAATGAATCTACCTTTGGAGGGTTTTGTCTGACGAATGTCAATACGATTGATGATAAGAATGAAGTTTCATGACATTCCTGCAAACATCAATGTGATAAGAATACAGAGAGCGGAAGAAAACGACATTCAACGATAAAATATTTCCTCAAACAATGATGCATTCAATAGCATTCATCCTGATATCAAAACACCTTGCTTCACAAACACATCTCATCTCAAAACCTCTCACATCTCCAAACTCGCCATCTCTCATCCTACCTCCATTGCATCTCTTACGAGCTTGCAGACAAAGTTGACCTTGGACATGTTCGCTGCAGACGGTCAGAGCGAGGAGAGCAAATCAATGATCATTGTCACCTTCACCCCTCTGCTGTGTTTGCTTCATCGGAACAAAATCTTTCACGTACTTATACATCGTTTCCGTGACATCTTCTTCTTTCAACGCAGCGATAAACAGACTGAGCAGGTGAGATGAATTGACCTGCACGTCACACGAGTCACGACATCCATGTTGAACACATTGCAACACAACACTCGTTCACCTCTTTGACAATCTTCTCAACATTTTCTGCAAACGAGCGCGGATCGTAATCGTGCAGGAGATTCATATCGATTTTGTGCTTGCGCATGGTGAGCAACACGTCCAGGTACTTGCTGCAGGAGAGGAGAGAACAACAATGGTGTACAACTAACGACTGCGGATGAAGAATCTCTAAATTCCCTCGGGGCAGCAGCAAAACAACTTTCTGATCGTTAAGAGGAGCAGTGACGAGCTGTGCTCCGCGCTCCAACAGGCGCTGGTCGTTCGTGGCAGCCATGGACATGCTGCTGGAGCTCTTGACGGAAGAGGAGGAGGAGAAGAAGGAAAGGGGCACGAAGACTAGATCGCAAGATGCAGTCGTGTAGATCAGATGCTTGTCATGCAGGCAGCAGGAGGTGACTGACTCTGCCAGCGGCTCCTCATTCACGAGAAGTTTCCCGCGCTTGTTGATCCCAATGATCAGCTTCCCTCCTCCTGGATCATGTGAGATCAGAGGAGGAGGAGGAGGAGGAGGAGGAGGAGGAGGAGGAGGAGAGAGGAAAGGAGGAGGGCGAGGAGGAGAGAGGAAGGAGGAGAACGAGGAGGAGGAGAGAAAGGAGTAGGAGGAGAACGAGGAGGAGGGAGGGAGGCAGTACCTCGAGGAATCATGAGCTTATTGCAGGTAGTCGCCATCTTTCCTATGCTCTTCATCGTGATTTTTTCCTGCTCACCAGCGCACTCCGCCTCCAAGACTTGACCATCTTCTAGCTGAACGAGGCAAGCGTTCCTCCCCTCCTCCCTCAGCAGCCGTGAAACAGGAGCAGACGTGTCGATCTTCGCTCCCACCTCCATCCTCCATGACTCTCCCTCCCCTCCCTTGAGCAGGACGGGGACGAGAGCAGAAGACTGACAGCAGATAGCAAGCAGCACCCTCCCTTTCAGCCACAGAAGCTGAACGATCCGCCTCGTTCGATCCCCTGCCACCTCCACCTCGACCGCGGGCACCTTGCTCCACCTGCTGCTGTCTCCTCCTTCGAACGGCCTGCCAAGGATCTGCAAACTCCCGTCTGAGCAGAGGACAGCAACATCCCCAGCTGGACTCCAGCAGACTGACGAGATGGGGACGGGAAGCTCGACGGTGACGGCAGCCATGGGGGGAGGAACCAGCATCTTGCCGAGGGGAGTGAGGAGTAATTTCTTGCCGTCAATCATCGCGATTGTCTTGAGATCTATAGCAGACGTGTCTGCCGACCCGCTCAACATCTGGTGTACATCTCAGTGAGGAGAGGGAAAGGGAGAGGGAGAGGGAGAGGGAGAGGGAGAGGGAGAGGGAGAGGGAGAGGGAGAGGGAGAGGGAGAGAGAGAGGGAGAGAGAGAGGGAGAAGGGGAGGGAGAGGGGGAGGGGGAGGGAGGAGCCAAGATGACAGCAGCGACACAGGCCTTACCATGCTGTCAGAGGGGCTCAGGTCGAACCTCCAGTCAAGGGTGTAAACGTTGGAATCCTGGTGATCAAAACCGACGACAACAACATTCGGGTCATCGTCACTCCACAACATCCAAGGACGACAACAAGTGCTTGACTTGGTGCAGGGCAAAAACTCTTGCTTCAAGTACCAATGATAGTTCGAACGATGCCACAACTGTACCTTGCCACAACCACCTCCTTCCTCCCCTCGCAGCGCTACCGCCAACAAACTTCCATCTGAGTTCCAGCACAGACTCTCCACCCGCCTCTGCCCGTCCTCCTTCAGCAGGGAGAATTCGTAGTGCCTGAGGGCGTTGGGCTCGAAGAAAATGATTTGCTTCCCTCCGCTTCTCCGCTGACATGCGGCGATAAGAGAGCCGTCGGTCTTGAAGGCAACACAGTCGTCCATGTCCTGCATCACCTCACTCTCTGCCTCGATGTTCCCCTGTCTATCAAGAACCAAGACGTAGGACGAAGACAAGTCTTCCGTCTGCAGCAGGAGCACGAACTTCATACCGTCTGCGCTCCAGGAGACCGAGGCTCTAGCGACTCCCTCGATCTTGAGCTGCTCGAGCTGCTTCTCGAAAACGATGCCCCACTGCATGTTCAGAGCGATGAGTGTGTACGAGGCTGTCAGGCACAGGACGATCTCCCCATCGGGGCTGCTCGAAGTGCTCAACAGCCCTCCCGCCATGTCCCCGACCCGTTCGAAGCTGCATGAGTCCAGGTGGTATACCGACAGAGCGCCATGCTTGTCTACGAGGAGAACACCCTCCACCTCGGGAAGGACAGCGATGTTCTGAACGTCCTCCACAGGTGCCTCATGCATCGGATCTCCACCCTTGAGTGAGATGCCGAGGAGACGGTCATCGTCGGTGGTGCAGAAGAGCAACGAGTTGGCTGTGTCGAGAGCAGCGCTGGTAACCTCTGCTCCATCAAGGGCATGCTCGAGTCCGAACTCTCTTCCAGCAAGAACGATAAGATTGTTCATGCTGTCCTACCGCACTGTAATCCCGTGGTCGTTCCTGCGGAAATTTATCGATGTGCACTCCACCTCCGCACCCCAGGACACTTCGTCTGCTGTGCTTCTTCCTCTGCTCCTGTCCTCTTGCCTTCTCTTCCTCTTCTTGTCTTGTCTTCCTCTTCTTGTCTTGTCTTGTCTTGTCTTGTCTTGTCTTGTCTTGTCTTGTCTTGTCTTGTCTTGTCTTGTCTTGTCTTGTCTTGTCTTGTCTTGTCTTGTCTTGTCTTGTCTTGTCTTCCTCTTCTTTCAGGGGCTTTTCTCTCCTTTCATCGTCATATCCGCCTAGTGCACATGCCAAATTTCGGTGGCCGCTCCTAAGCTCCGATGATCCGAGGCTCTCAGTGTTTGCGGCGGCCCGCCCGGCGCCGGGCCGGGTCCGAGTCGGGGGTCGGACCCGGTGACACGGGTACGAGTACTACTACGGGCAATTAAAGTTTTGAGTGGGAAAAAGATTTTCAGCAGAAATCTTCGGGTAGGTTAAGCATATTAAAACGAGGCCGAAAACAACCGGTCATATTGAGGTCTATACTACGCGTGCGAAACCAACCGTTTCGTTTCACAATCAAAGGACCACCCATCACTTGGATGTAAATTGAGAGGGTGGTATAAAAGTATAGTATATTCTGACAACATACAAATAGATATAAACATCCCAATACCTCATACCCTGTAGTAAAATCTCAGTACATGGGTGGGTCCAAAACGCCAAGCAGAGAGGGGTGGAGAAAAAAGTCCCACATCCCCTCTTTGACCGGGCCCATCCGGGGTGTCCGGGGAGTCAGCCCCGAAAGCCTACACCTACTCCGCCCTCCTGCCTGACGACTAGTATCCTGCCCCGAAACCGGGCTGAGCCTACTCCGCCTCCTGCCTGACGGCTATCCAGGCTGCTCCGCCTCCTGCCTGTCGACTATCCTGACCCGACAGCCTGCTCCGCCTCCTGCCTGACGACTATCCTGACCCGACAGCCTGCTCCGCCTACTATCCTGACCCGACAGTCTGCTCCGCCTCCCGCCTGACGACTATCCTGCCTCGACAGCCTGCTCCGCCTCCTGCCTGACGACTATCCTGACCCGACAGCCTGCTCAGCGGCTCCGCCTCCTGCCTGACGACTATCCTGACCCGACAGTCTGCTCCGCCTCCTGCCTGACGACTATCCTCCGCCTCCTGCCTGACGACTATCCTGACCCGGCAGCCTGCTCCGCCTCCTGCCTGACGACTATCCTCCGCCTCCTGCCTGACCGACTATCCTGACCCGGCAGCCTGCTCCGCCTCCTGCCTGACGACTATACTGCCCCGACAGCCTGCTCCGCCTCCTGCCTGACGACTATCCTGACCCGACAGTCTGCTCCGCCTCCTGCCTGACGACTATACTGCCTCGACAGCCTGCTCCGCCTCCTGCCTGACGACTATCCTGACCCGACAGTCTGCTCCGCCTCCTGCCTGACGCCTATCCTGCCCCGACAGCCTGCTCCGCCTCCTGCCTGACGGCTATCCTGCCCCGACAGCCTGCTCCGCCTCCTGCCTGACGGCTATCCTGCCCCGACAGCCTGCTCCGCCTCCTGCCTGACGGCTATCCTGCCCCGACAGCCTGCTCCGCCTCCTGCCTGACGACTATACTGCCCCGACAGCCTGCTCCGCCTCCTGCCTGACGACTATCCTGCCCCGACAGCCTGCTCCGCCTCCTGCCTGACGACTATCCTGCCCCGACAGCCTGCTCCGCCTCCTGCCCTGACGGCTATCCTGACCCGACAGCCTGCTCCGCCTCCTGCCTGACGACTATACTGACCCGACAGCCTGCTCCGCCTCCTGCCAGACGACTATCCTGCCCCGACAGCCTGCTCCGCCTCCTGCCTGACGGCTATCCTGCCCCGACAGCCTGCTCCGCCTCCTGCCTGACGACGGCTATCCTGCCCCAAATCCGGGCTGAGCCTGCTCCGCCTCCTGCCTGACGACTATCCTGACCCGACAGCCTGCTCCGCCTCCTGCCTGACGACTATCCTGCCCCGACAGCCTACTCCCCCTCCTGCCTGACGACGGCTATCCTGCCCCGAAACCGGGCTAAGCCTGCTCCGCCTCCTGCCTGACGACTATCCTGCCCCGACAGCCTGCTCCGCCTCCTGCCTGTCGACTATCCTGCCCCGACAGCCTACTCCGCCTCCTGTCTGACGACTATCCTGCCCCGACAGCCTGCTCCGCCTCCTGCCTGTCGACTATCCTGCCGCCCGACAGCCTGCTCCGCCTCCTGCCTGACGGCTATCCTGCCCCGACAGCCTGCTCCGCCTCCTGCCTGTCGACTATCCTGCCCCGACAGCCTGCTCCGCCTCCTGCCTGACGACTATACTGCCCCGACAGCCTGCTCCGCCTCCTGCCTGACGACTATCCTGCCCCGACAGCCTACTCCGCCTCCTGTCTGACGACTATACTGCCCCGACAGCCTGCTCCGCCTCCTGCCTGACGACTATCCTGACCCGACAGCCTGCTCCGAGAATTGGGATGATTGTGTAGCTTGAACAATGTTCGTTGGTTGGTGATGTGATGTTTTTGTTTCAGACTTGCCCCCACGTCTGCGCTTCTTCGCATCGCAAGTGCGTTTGTTATGCCCCCGGCACTTGCAGATACTACATTGCTTCTTCGAACGGCCATTCACATTGTATTGCGTATCAAGACAATTTCCAGGTTCTGTGTCATTGTCATAACTGTAATCGTCCATTTCATCCATACTCTCGGGTTCTGACTCTGGCCGAGTAACCCTCCTTTCTCCCCGCCTGGGTTTTTTGCATTTGGGTACATAATCAGGGTCTCCTCTAGATGCCTTCCTGCCTTCCATCTGACCAGGTTTGCAATGTCTGGCCGGGTGATGACGGAATTCGTCATCATCAGCAGGGCTGAAGTCATGAATCAGTGGAATAATACCGACCTTGAAGCCTTCATTATCAGCGATGGCAGCAATCCAGGTATCTGCTAACCAACAGTTCTCGTACTTCGAACATAACTGTCCAGTTTCACACTGGACGCAGTTGACGAGTATTGGCATTGAGCATATCTCGCCTGGGGTGCAAAGGATTAGCAATCATGACCGAGCGAAATGGAAGACATGCACCCAGTGTCGAGGCTCGATTTGGTCAAGGTACTCCCACGCCACTCGATCCATTTTCAACTTCAAGGCGAGCAATATAAATGTTATGCAGTGCAGCGGAGATGCCAGTGCGTTTTTTGAACAACTTCTGAATGACTTCGGCTGTCATACGTCGATGAACACTGCCTCCAATGTCCCTCCTGGACCCTTCGGCGATAATAGAACGGAAAGGTTTGGAATGAACTAGATAACTCGCTCCGGCATTTCCCACGGAAGAGCACAATGTGCTATGGTATAGGGTGCTATCCTCCATATTGATGGTAAACTTATCCTTTTTGTGTTGCTTGCCCCTCTTGACGATGACTGTGTACCTGAGAGAATGCAATGAGAGGAAACGACATGAAAGCAACAAGAATGATGCTCACGGGCATGTAGAGCAGGAGCAGCGCATGATATAGCCGGTCATGCCATGGAGTTTTTTGCTAGGAGTATTCTTGATTTGCTTGTTGTAATCCTTCAAGTTGATATGTTTAAGGAATCTTGTACATTCACGTCGTTTGGAGAACTGCAATCCGCGCAACGTCATGACATGGTCAGATGGAGGTTCCTTGTTGTATGATTCTGATTCAGATGAGGAGACACATTCGTCTTCACTAGTCCAAAAGCAGGAGGGCTCTTCCCCGATTGATATGGATTGATAGTTGTGGCTTGCACAACTATCATCTTCAGGCAAAGATGTGTCCGCTCCGTGAGGAAGCAACGGATCTGAAGGGTCATTCCATGTGTGAGGAAGGGGAGGTGATGATAATGAAGAGGTCGGGGCATCGAAGATGAGGGCATAGAGCCGCTCGACACGCTGGATCAAGGACAATTGTTCGGGGGGTTTCATACCCAAGCAACGAAATACACGTTCAACAATGACAATGTACGACGCATTGGTAGGGAGGTCGAGCTCCAGCTCTTGTTTCACAGCACGTAGCTTGGCACTCATCCTGAGCCTCCTGGCCTTTGTCGAGCCTTCCTCTGCCTGCATTTCCCGCGCTGGGTACAACTAAATGTAAAATCGAAACGTTTGGTAGCGTTTTGTGCAACTTATTATAAAGCACATAGTATGCAATGTATAAGTAATTATGAAAATTTTAAAGTATCGTGACCTGTCAGCAATCGCCCGAAATCTTTGATTTTTGTTGATTCACCTACCCTTGATCTTTAGAAAACCCCTAAACCTACCTTAGAATTTTTGCTGAAAATCTTTTTCCCACTCAAAACTTTAATTGCCCGTACTACTACCCTACTAGTGACCCGGGCCAGCCTCGCCATCGGGTCGGTTCGCGCAAAATTCCGTTGGGAAGAGGGAGGGGTGGGGTCACATAGAGTGTACCTTCACCTTACTACCCGTATTTTTGTGCGCAAAGATAGGGGTATCATGACCCTAAGTACCCCCTGACGTCTGGACTGCAGAACCCGCCGTTTTAGAGTACCCCTCTCTCCTAAGCAGGACCCCTTCATGATAAGATACACCCTTTGCCAAGGGACCACCCCCCCCTTTCTGCATCATGGGGAACTATTTGAAAATATGGTAGTCATCGCCATTTAAATTTCATAGTTTAATTATTATTTTAAAGAAGAATATTTCAAATAATTACGATACATTGAGAACCTCTCAGGCATCTACCCTTGTAAATCACGACTTTGACTACCCCTACCCCACTCAAAATGACCCCCTACTCCGTCTCTATCCTGCAGGATTCCCCGACAATGCAAGCTCATTTTGAGGCAGAGGTTGAGGGTGGGAGATGATGATGATGATGATGATGATGATGATGATGATGGGATCAAGATCATCAGGAGGATCGAGAGGAGCAGGAGCAAGAGCAGAGGGAGCAGGAGGAGGAGCAGGGACATGACAGGAGCAGGAAGGAAAGCGAGGCTTATTTAAGGTCAAAAGTAGGGAGAAAGCAATAGGACTCGAATGTATGATCAGGTCAGTGAGGTCAGTAGACAGGTCAGCTCAGCACAACAACACAGCACATCCGAACACTCCAGGAGTTGATGATACTTCATACACTCATGCGCTGACTGCAGATGGTGCATACGCTGGATGGAAGCTCGAGATCAGAGACGTCCAACGATGCTCTTGCCGTGCGTAGCCCGTCGTTCAAGGGTACTCCTGTATCAAAGAAGCGAACGGGAGAAGCAGGAGCAGGAGGCTCGGCAAAGAAAGCGTCTCCGTACGGAGTGAGGAAAACAGAGTTGAAGAAAGTGAAGAGCTTCACAGAGAAAGAGCCGCTGTCGGTCATTCTCAACGTCTATGATCTTGTATGGGATAGAGATTCGGAAGGAGGACGCAACGCGGGACTCGCAGATCTTGGCCTTGGCTTCTACCACACAGGCAGGATAAGACCTGTTAGACCTCTCGCGCTGACGGCGATGGCAGGGCTGGAAATCTGGGGGAAGGAGATTTCCTTTGGGCATAGCAGGAGATATCGCTCAGGCGTGTTCGCAGTGAAGCCCAAGAAAGCGCAGGAGTACATGCCTAACACAAGATACAAGATGTCGATAGAGATGGACAGCATCTTCATGTCTCGTCTGAGGTTCCCTTCCATCTCCTCCTCCTTGCCACCTCCTCTCCTCGCCACCTCCTCTACTTCTCCTCCTCCTCCTCTCCTCCTCTCCTCCTCCTCTCCTTCTCCTTCTCCCCCTCCTCTACTCTCCTACTCTCCTCCTCCTCTCCTCTCTTCCTCTCCTCCTCCTCTCCTCCTCCTCCTCTCCTCTCCTCCTCTCCTCCTCCTCTCCTCCTCCTCTCCTCCTCCTCTCCTCCTCACCTCGTTTCCAGCATGGACAAGCTGCTCTGCAGGCTGGCCATGAAGTACACCTCTGACAGCTATGACGTCGTGAGGAACAATTGCAATCACTTCACCGACGATCTGTGCATGGCGATATGCGGCAAGTCCATCCCAGAGTGGGTCAACCGCCCTGCGAGGATGGGAGCTTCGGCCCTCGATGCCCTCCATGCTCCCCTCAAGGCCATGAACTCTTTGGTCAATATCTTCAGGACAGAGTCCGGATCGGTACGAATTGAAGGAGGAGATGTGAGGATGGCAAAAGAGGGGGAAGGGGGTTGGAGGAAGAGGAGAGGAGAGGAGAGGAGAGGAGAGGAGAGGAGAGGAGAGGAGAGGAGAGGAGAGGAGAGGAGAGGAGAGGAGGAGGAGAAGGAGGAGAAGGAGGAGAATTGAAAGTGTTTATCAGGAGAAGGAGCGCTCAATCGACCTCGAGCGGGAGATATCGAAGATCGCAGAAGTTCCTGTAAACGCAGAGAACATTTCCTCTAACCCCTCTCAATCTAAGGCCTTCGACACCTCTTCCTCCTCCTCTTCCTCCTCCTCCTCCTCAAGTGAGCAGTCGATGAAAAGTTGGATCTCTTCGCAAGTTCCCGACACGTCTGTGATGATGGAGGAGAAGGAGAACAACATTAAGGTTATCATCTACTGCTGTCCTCAAGTTGGACGTGATTTCTCTTTTCAGGACAACACCATGTCCACCCCTCACAGAAGACAAGTCACCTGTGGAGCTGCTTCGACGAGCACGTCTAGTGAGGAGGAGCTGGAGGGATCAACCTCGCCCCCGCCTCCTTCGCTGTGAGTCTTGAGGACCTTAGTCGTCTCCTCTCGCTGATTTGGCATCAAGGCTGGACAATGCTGTCATATCTCGCGGAGACGTTGAGAAGCTATCGCAGCGAGGATATACAGTCAAGGCAATCTGACGACTTTCCTTGTTTTATTCCTACTTGTGCTTGAGATTTATTCTTTTCTATATTACGCTGTTTTTGTATACAAATACGGGTGTGTTTAGCTTGCCGTATTACCAGTTCACATTTTCTCTTGTTGGTACCAGTCAATACTTCTGCTTCTCTTTCTTCCTCCCTCCGCCTCCATATCGTCTCGCCCATACACTCAGCCGGCGCTCTCGCTCTTCCTCCTCTGCTAGATCAGAATCTTCCCGTCTCCTACAGGAATTCCTCGTCCTGACTGCAGAGAGATGTTGGGATTCTTTTGACAGCTCCACAGATGTCCGTTATGCTCTCCACGATTCTGAATGTCCCTGAAGTAGAAGCCCTGAGGCCGATAGGGAGGGCAAGTGAACGTCTCATGGCACCAGAGGCAGCGGATCTCTGACAAGAGCCGTCACCATGTCATCCCATCGCAGAAGGGAGGGGGAGGGAGAGCAAATAGGTAGAAGAAGGCGAGAGAAAGGAGACGAGGAAAATGGTAGAGGAGGTGCCGGGACCTGTTCTACTGATGACGTTTGCGGTATCTTGACAATGGGTCTACCGATCGCATGTCAATCACGGAACAAGATCATCGCACTCTAAGCTCACATGCACTAATCGTATCATTTCTGCCAGCTCCTTAGCATGTAGCTCCGGATGCTTTTCTGGGTCGATCCCACGTGCTGACAACGGGGATCCTGCGGTCATCTCAGCCTCAAGACATCAGGTGAGACTCTTTCGTCCGCACCGATCGAGCTCCCGTTGCTCTGCCCTTGCCGTCTTGCTCGACTGCTTAGATTCCCTGGGGTGGCCTGGACTGAAATGTTGACCACTTTCCTCGCTGCAGAAGTGTTCAGAACCAGGGGCAAGTGAGAATGCGGAGCTACCTTCACTACACGGCGATCGCCCCAGGATCTCCCCGTCAATATCCCACTTCATCGATGTCACTTGTCGGAGAAACAACTTCGTACCATGATCTGACCTTGTTCATCGGTCTGGGAGGAGTCCAGAGGGTCTGAGGGGGCTGAACAGCTTGGTACTTGTTTGAATCAGTCGAGAAACCTTGACGCGATGTAAGCTGTTGCAAGGAGATGTCAAATTTGTCATACCGATGTCAGCCTTGACTCGAACGTCTTCCGGCTCCATCAGAAACACTGCGAGATAAAAGGTTTACCAGACTTCAACACCATGACAGCAACAGCTGCTGCAGATCTTATCAGGTGAAGTCATATCACACCTCGGTCTAACTCCGGCTCGTCTTCTTTTGGGACACCCTTCGGCAGCCATGTCAGCTCCTCCCATACCACCATGGTCATACTGACCGGCCACTTCTCCTGCTCGCTGCCCTCGGAGCAAGACTCTGCAGGGGACGGACCTGGAGCATGTTTCATTCCTGCTGATCATCGCAGGTGTGCCTGACCTTTAGCAGGCGCAGGCTGATCGATGATCTTGATACGCCTGGAGCTCTCTTGATAGATAGCAGGCGATGAGAGCGGTAGGATCTGAATGTCCTTCCTGGTCGCCAAATTCTCCATGTCTGCAAGAGCTGGTCATCCGATCGCTGCAAGATGCTGAGAGCCTACCAGGTCCGCTGATGCTCGAGACTTTCTCTCTGGCAGATAGTTCTTCCTCCTCCCGATCTTGTGTGCTTCGAGACGTTTCACTCACATTACTTTATACCAGATGTTGTTTGGTTTTACCTTGCATTTTCTTCGTGCAGCGCGATTTTGTACTGCTGCAACGTTGCATTGTCTTGCTCTGCCCTGTGCTTATTGCACTGAGCATCAAGCTCTTCGAGCAATTCTTTGATTCTTTCCGCCAAGTCACATGCAAGGTTTGAACACAACCGCATGGTTTTACCGTCTTTGTTGGTTCTTGATCACAAACGCCATCACAACGATTCCTATGAGCGCAAGTACTGCGACTATGAAGGCAACAAGGGCGAGGATGCCCTCAGTGTTCATCTTCCTTGGCTGCTTCTCACTTCTAGCGCCTGTCTGATGCACACCCTATCCGCACATATCTCAAAATGTTGTTGTCGTTCGCTCCAGGGCTTTTCGAGGTTCTCTGTCGCAGTCTCAGAGCTGGAGTCTTCAGCTGTGCTCAAGTTTCTCTTCTTCTAAGTTTCTATGACTGCATGTTGCAGTCAGGTATCACACCAACTGTCCCTCCCCCCTCATAACTCCGACCTCCATACCTGCATTTTCGCCACGGCGCGTACCCCACCCCGGGTCCGTTCACACCCCATCGAGTACCCTACCCATCTTTGCCTCCAACGTTCGCTACTTTCCTCACCCCCCCTCCTGTCCTTGTACAGCTAGGGTACCCTACTAGAGACTTATTACCTCCACCCCCAAATCCCTCGCCGAGTCCGTGTCACTGAGGGCGC